ATATATAACGTTTATGCAGAATATTAATTTTTCAAGATTTACATATGAGTTTTTATTTGACACGAACAGTGAAAACAGCATTTGAATAGCATTGATCAATGTCTTAAAATCGTTCTATTTGATCAAGCTGTGGAAGAAATACAGATTTTAAAAAGTTGTGCACATTTAGTTGATATTGGTACATTTTAAGCAATAAATTATGAAAAGATGGGCTGTCCGAGAATCTGTGGTACAGACAGACATACAATATTATATGTCCTATATTAAAGTACGTATACTTAGTATAACATTAAAAAGAAGTTCATAATACATGACTTTCAGCCTACAACTATATCCAACTTACCTTATCCATGATTCGATGCAGATTTCGAAATATTTACAGCATTTTCAACTTTTTGATTTATTGCTCTATGCTACATTTACCAAAAATATTCAGTACTTTTATGACAATGGACAAAGAAAATCGTTAGTACCGTAGCTAAGCCAATCGGCTCTTTTCTACCATTTCTTCACTTCAAACTCGACAAGAAAATGTAACAACCGGTTATATTTGTGGTAAAGCGCCTTGAGTGTCAATCTGATCAATCTGATATCAGGGTACGACAAACAAAAGATGGTATGAATGACATTCGAGTCATTGGCAGTCTATTTTATTGCTCAATAAAAAAAATATACGTGTATATCTTTCTGCCCTTGTGACGCGCTATTTTATTTTTGCAACTACATGTAGTTCATTAGAAGTTTTTCTTCATTTTAGCGCGCTTAAAATTAAAACTTACGCATGTTTGATTTTCATACGCTCTAGTTTTCTTTAGCACTTTTTTTTTCTTTTAACTCTAGCGCGCTCGTTTTGCTCTTCATGCCGATAGCAATCTACTCGCTGAAATTCGCGCGATAAAATTTAAAATAGCACGCTAGTTTGTCACCTACAATTGTCCGATGATATGAGTCATATCGTTGTTTATTCAGAAAAATTGCTTAGCATCGCGGCTTTTTTATTTAAAAAGATGTCGGAAATTAGTGACAGATAAATGCTTTTACAACGAATTCAGAACACAGTAGACTCTTGTTGCAGAATTAGCAGATCAGACAGAATTGATGAAGATCTGATATCGAACACAAATAGGAGGTATTTAATTTATATGTTTACGCATACCGGTAAATGGGTTTTCTTTCAATCGCTATATATATATTTTATAGCCCATTAATATTATGAATTATAAATTATGGTGTTTATATACTGTTACAAGTATGTGCTCTTAAAATAAGTAACAGAAAAAGTGAAGACAGCAAGCTTTGTAAAATTTAACAAATAATTTATTTAGCTAGAATTCAAAGTCAAACATAAGAAAAAAGAAGTTACGGTATTGCGAATTAAATCCAAAAATAATCCAAGAATTAAAGACACAAGTCGTAGTAATAAAAAGTCCTGAATAAAACTCAGTTCAATCCCCTAAGAGATCCAAAATTGAAGGTGATGATTTGTCTGAAGGTGATGACGAAATAATACTGATATGTCAACAGTCTCTTGTTGAATCATAGAACTTCAATGAAAATATTTAACAAATACTAAATCATAATCTGTCTCAGCTTGTAGTTTAATAATGTAATTACTATATACATGCAGTAATTAAATACTAAAACTCTACAAACTACAAACACAATTGCTGAGTTAATATTAGACAGATACATAATCAGAGCACACTAGTTAGAAACATTTATATTGTACTCACTAGTAATTAGTAATGTGATTTCATGGATTACAGTTTTAAAACTGAGATTCTTTTTGTGCAATTTAAAGCATAAAAATATTTAGTGATAATATTAACTGACCATAATAACATGTAGATATTGAGACAAAAGATCAATATGTTAAATATATTAAATTAGGTTTTAGATTAATACCGCCTCTTTATATTCAATATCAGATCTTGATTAATTCTGTCGGATATCCTATTTTTGCAGCAATAATGGACTGTGTTCTGAATTCCTTGTGGAAATCTGTTATTCTTTACCGCCATATTTTTAAATCAAAGAACCACATGCCATACAATATTTTCGAATAATCAACGATATAACTCATTTCATTGGACAATTGACAATCTAGATTAAACGTACTCATAACTTTTCATTTTACTAGGGGCACAATGAAGAAACAACACGCTATTTACAACTTTTAGAGCTCTAGTTACAAAAACTAGCCTATTAAAAGTGCAGACATAGACATGTTTTATCCACTAAAAAGGCTGCAAATGACACGAATGGCTATTCCTAACATGGAATCAGAGTTAGGGAATACGGTTTTAATCATATTGCGAGAAAATAAACTTTAATGTACAATTCTTGTTGTTATAGAAGCAGTAAAAAACCGCATTATTTCATTCCAAAAATGTATAAATATGTACAGTACAGGCCTTTTAAAAGGCAGAGGAGAATTCTCATAGAATGTATCTTGTGTCCGTTAGCGACATCCTCTCTCTCTCTCTCTCTCTCTCTCTCTCTCTCTCTCTCTCTCTCTCTCTCTCTCTCTCTCTCTCTCTCTCTCTCTCTCTCTCTCTCTCTCTCTCTCTCTCTCTCTCACACACACACACACAGACACACACACATTCTTTCTCAGCGTTATACATACGTAAATTCATCATAATGGCCTCGCTCATCAATTTTTTCACAAACAAAACAAATAAGAATGTTTCTCCTTTGTTATCATTAAAAAAGAAGGCTTCTTTCTATGTTTTCATGGAAAGTCACCGTTTTTTTCCGTTACAACCTGAGTGTCGGGTGACACGAATACCCTGATTATATTATATACATGACCTGCATTTACCTAAAGAGGTTATCTCCCTTACAATTTCATTTATAATTAACTCACGGGCGTGATACAAACCCCTCAAGCCATCCAATCAAGGGTAGGATACAAAACATGCCTGATAAGAGTGAGACAAACATATCGCAGAATATGTTACATAATTTTACAACATACTAATTGGAGCCTAAACATGTAACTCGCACCTTTTGTTTTGTTCAGTTCTTTGGCTGATAAATCGTTTAGAAAAAGAGATTTAGTCGTATGTATGAGAACACTTCCGAAATCGCGGGAGTATGTTTCATGAGGTATTAAAATCTATCAATGGAAGAAAATTGATAGTGCTACAGCTGAAATAACTTTTATCTACACAGTGGATATATTACCTTTGGAACAAATTTTGTTTTCACTTACATGTCCTTGTGTTTGTTATTCAAACATATATTTCCATCTTTATTTTTAAATTCTCTCACACACACACGCACACACACACACCCACACGCAGACACGCAAACAAATATTGATGTATGCAAAGAGAATGAGGATTTGCAATTAACAAATTACCTAAAAACAAAACGTCAGTTTTAATTCTAACAATGTTTGGAAATATTCGGGGTAGAATGGTATCGATTGCAAACCTTGGTGAAGTGGCTATCGAAATTTGGGTGAGCGAGGAAGACTGCCAGAATAAAAGGTCACATAATTGACATTTAAATACCAAAATAACTAAAGAAACAAAATCGCATTTGATTAACATTGAAATGTGATGCTAAAGATGTTACGCTCTGAAATCTATCTGATACGAATACATCTATGATATTTCTACACTATACAATCCCAACAATGTTAAATCTATCAATGAGCTCTAGGAATGAGCTAATAAAAATAAAAATAAAAATTCGCTAATTCGTTTTTAAAACAGTCATTATTTTGATAAATTACACAATATGAAGCATTATATGTAAAATATACATTTTTCTATCCTTAATTATTACAAAATTTCGAAAAAATTTGTATCGATGTAGAAGTTGATATCATTGGCAAATGTTAACATGAATTAAAGATCAGATATAATTGTAAAAATATTAAAATTCTATAAAAAGGTAAATAAAATTAAAGATAAAGATGAAAAGTTTTAAAATCCTTAAAGCAAACGGTGCATATTCCCCCTTCCTCTTTAATTACCGTAATTGCACTCTCGTAAAAAAAACAACTTCCCCATAGGGTTTAAGCCCACACACTCAAGAAGGATGTTTCTTACTCACTGGCAGAATATATCTTCTGGTCGAGCTTGAGTAAGATATTTTGTTTTTGTCGATGCACATGGGAAGTAACGAGTTCATTGAATAAACAAAATTTCTCTAAGATTAAATCTCAAACATGGAAGCGCACCTACAAAAAGAGAAACAGGCACATGAATTTACGTACGATCGTTGGACATACGTACATGGATGTATACATACGTACGTGGGTGCATACATACATACATACATACATGCATACATACATACATACATACATACATACATACATACATACATACATACATACATACATACATACATACATACATACATACAATGTATTGCCCAAATTAACATAATTTTTGTTTATGCTAGATGACATCTTCTGTTCATCCACGCATCATTTCAAAGATATCGGCAAACCACTAAAATGCATTAAAAGCTGACATAATTCCAACGGTTCCAGGGATATTAGCCTATGTGACATTTTTAAACCAACAAGATTAACGATTAACACTCGATGTGAAATCTTTTCTGTAACAATAAGTGAACATATAAACTATTTACTACAATAAATAATAGTTCGAGCTACTAATTTTTGGATTACCAAGAACAGACTCTCACTCGCATTTTTTCTTCACATTACAATTTGAAGTTATCGCCGCTGCAAAAATAAACACAAAAACGTGACAAAAACGTGTGTGCTAATTTGTTTTCGTTTGATTTATTTAGTTACTTGTTTTTACTTTTTTTGTGTACATATCTGACAGGTCAATTGCACAAACTGCTGCTGGACAACATCTAAACCTTCGCTAGTGGTTTCAATAATGCATTTATTAAAAATTAATATAACCTCTATAACCTCTAAACTGGACATGTAATTGACTTTTCTTAACAAAAAAAAATATCTTATCATTTCAGTACCTACTTTGGATGAAAAGATCAATTAGTACGCTCCGGTGGCCTAGTGGTTAGAGCGTCTGCGTCGGATGTGGGAGGTCGCGGGTTCGAACCCCGGTCGAGTCATACCAAAGACTTTATTAAAAAAAATTATACTTACAGCTGCCTCGCTTGGCGCTCAGCAATAACAGGTTATTGTTAGGACTGGTCGGCTTGGTGTTAGGATAATGTGACTTGGTGGGACATCGTGCTACATGTCTGCGGCGTGATGCTCCAGTGCTAGACAAAACAGTTAACTGTTTCACTGCAGACATCGTAGCGATATTACTGAAAATCTGTTAAAGCTAGGTTAAATCTCAATCACACACAAAAATTGCCTAGAACTTTAAAGAATAAGTAAGCATTAGAATGCTTCTATTTTAAACAACTCTTGGGAAGGTATAATTCACATGTCGTTCTATAGTATAATCAAGGCACAAATCACTCTCTGTGGAAATAAATATTTTCCCGGTTGTGGCATTGCCTTAGCTGCCTGTACTGATCAAGAAAGGCAGGACTCAGCTATAAAATGTCTTTTCTTGTTGTTTTAAAATCTATTATAGTTTATATATAACTACTTCATCTATAACTACTGTTATGTATATTTAATTTAATTGTTTGTTGGTTACTTTTAATTTTTTTCGTTCATTTCATTATATGTTATTGTAATGTAACATTGTTTACTGGACTTGAACTTGTCCAAAACTAAGTTCAGTTCTGTGTGATCTGATTGGCTCTCTTAAATTTCATTGATGTATACAACTAATAATAGCTTTATTATCCTCAATGGGTATAAGCTCATTGACCAAATTATTATTCAGGTAAACATGTTGATTTTGGGTCAGGGATTTGGAAATTCCAAAGTGAATTTTATAGGTATGGTGTTATAAATAAATAGGGCTAATTAGATCATTCAAGACGGTTATTTTTCATTAGATAATGGTTGTTGTTAGAAAATGCTAATTTTTGACCTAGGTCAACAGAGAACTTTGAAGATTTTACCAGTCGTGTTTTAAAATCTAGCACTTTAGGTTGAGAATTTGGGGTGTCCAGTTCGTGCTGAATTTTATTTTCCTTAAGTTTTTTAATTCAAGTGATTATTTTCTCTAGAAATACAAAAGTGCTCAAACAAAATTCTTTGACAAGGACATTCATTGGAATTTATACTGAATTAAAAACCTGGAATAATAGTACTGTGATTCAACAAGAGATTGACACATCAGTACGACGCAGGCTATAACAGACACGCCATCGACTTTAATTTTGGATTTCTTTGGGAGTTAAACTTAGTTTTATTCAGGACTTTTGACTTTAATTCTTGAATTATTTTTTGGGATTTAATTCACAAAACCGTAGGTCCTTTTTTCTCATTTTTCACTTTGTATTCTAGGGAAATATATCATTTTGTTAATTTTTACAAAGTTTGCTTTCTTTACTCTTTTCTGTTTATTTTAAGAGCATAGACTAGTAACACTACTAAGCACAGACATTTTCGGAAACAAATGATTTAAATTCTTGTCGAATTCATTTCAATCAGATCTATCCGATCTCCTTATCTGATATGCTATTGTAATATAACATTGTATGCTGGACGTGACCATGTCAAAAACTGATTTCATTTCTGCTTGACCTGATTGACTTTTTGAAATTTCATTTTATGTAAACAATTAATATATAGCTATATTATTCTCCATGTGTATGGGTTTAATATTAGGATATGTATAAACAGAAGAAGCAAATATGTTTATTTGGACCCTCGTCTTGGACTTTTCTAAGTGAATTTTACAGGTTATGGTTTTTATTTTGTAAACATCAGGATCATTCTAAAAGGTTATTTTCCATTGGGTAATAGGTTGGGTTTGTTGTTTTTTTTTAAAAAAAAAAGAAAAGAAAATGTTAATTGTGACCTTAGGTCAAGTAGAGAACTTTATAATATTTTGGCTGTGAGGACTCCAGTACTTTCTTATTGTATATTATATGTTCGGGACTTTAAATTATTAGGATTTGTGTTCGTAATTCTTGTATTATTTTGGGATTTAATTTGCAATACAGTAAGTTCTTTTTATCATTTTCACTCTCTTTTCTAGGGAAAGAACATATTTGTTAAATTTTACAAAGCTTGTTGTCTTTAAGTCTTTTCTGTCACTTATTGTAAGAGCATAGATTCGTAACGATTGTTTAAGTTACTCTGGCATGTTTTACCCAAAGCTTGTTAATGAATATATTCCGGACAATAGATCAGTCAAGAACCATACGAGAATGAAATTCTTTCTTAAAATCAGTGACCATGGGGAAGAAATCCATATTCTCTCTCTCTCTCTCTCTCTCTCTCTCTCTCTCTCTCTCTCTCTCTCTCTCTCTCTCTCTCTCTCTCTCTCTCTCTCTCTCTCTCTTGTACTTTAGCGCTAATTTTTTTTAACTCTCCTGTGTTCAGAAAATGTAGACTGGGTCAAACATGAAAGAAAAGCCGCTTCCACAGCCAACAGTACCCTCTAAAATCTAAAATTGGTTGTTGATATTATAGACTTGAAAACGATCAGTCTTTGCCGGTTTGATAGCCTTTTAAAGCCTCGGTATTATTGTTGACCTTACAGAGTTGGATATCACTTACAGAGAAAATTGGCCACTTGAGTGCCAGGTAAATATTTAAGCAGACACCACCGTAAGACAATAAATACGTTGGATGCTCTTATACGCTGCATTATATTAAACATGAATCCTTTACATTTATCTTCTATTCAAGGAATATGACAACTGCAAAATTACGTTAGACATGTCAACAATGGCGAGAGAAGGCTGATAGCAATGGGCGTTCACAAAAAATGCTTCTTGTCGTTTTGATGGGTAATAAGGAGTTTTTATGTAAAGTTACGCTTTCCAAAAACAATGTTGTTTTTTTTAAAATACCTTCAATTAAATATGAAAAATATGTTAAATAATGGAAAATAAATCTTCCAGAATTAGTGGCCCCTATTGTCCGAGTGGTCTAACGCGCTTGTCTTTACAGATCACTTGTATCTCACTTCTGTCCGCATGTGTCTGAGCCTCGGCCCTACCAATGTGGGTATGTGAGAAAACTTGCCAATGGATTCCTGTATGTCAGTGTTTCCTCGCGGGATCTTCATGGTTATCGACAACTTTCTTCTCTTACCACTAAATCGACATTTTTTTTCAAAGTTATTGAAAATGTAGAAATACTTCTATTTATAAATTCTCAAAAGATGTAACATTTGAAACATAGGAGGTTTTGCTAAACATTCAAAAATGCAATCACATTGCAAGAAAATTTCAGGGAGAGAAAATGAAGTAATATGTTAGGACGTATAAATTCTGAAAAAGATCCCGCAATTTTATCGTTTAGCTATAAAACTAATTCATAGGATACCGCTTCATATGGCAATTTAATCACATAATGCAACGCGCTTAAAGCATTTGTTGACACGCATAACGTCATAATATGGATATATTTTACTCTTAATATAGTACATAGGATCTTTCTCTTACCTTGCAATTCAATAAGTGAAACATTGCACTCTAAGGGATTGAAAACTTTCACTCGCACTACAAATGCCTTTCAATTAGTCTTGCGCTAATATGTTATAAGCCATCACAGAATGGAGAAAAATAATATTTTTCGACAAGGTTTACATTAGTTAGGAATAAGCGTTTACGTTTCGCCTAGCAATAAGGTGTATTTCGATCGCCTGTCTATTAAATGCTGAAGATATGAATGATTCTGTAATAAAATTGCACTTAACGGTTTTGAATAACGGTTTTTCAACTAATCACATTAACGCCTCGTCACGGAAAACAACGCAGCATGATATTATTTCTCGGCGAAAGCGTTATAGCCCTCAACATGATAATAAACAGAATCAAGCTTAGACTTGAAAGTCATTTTTCAAACTTCGGCCATCTGAGAGATTTTTAAATGTCACGTATTCTAAAGTAATAAGATTAAATTTATCCAAGTCTGTTTAAGATTTCTTGTAGTGAAAATCAGTAATCTTAATGGGTATTTAGAAGACACGTTACATATCACGATCGTTTACATACATACATATATGTGCTTAACAAGTGATCGAGTTTCTCGTTAGTTCTTTTGTTGGTAGGAAAATAATATCAGGCAAGTTAAGACTTCATTAGATATGTGACACTTCAGGTTGACAGTTACTACTGATTAATATATGATAAGAAAATTATAAGAAAAGGGAATAGAAAATTTTTGTTACATCTGTTACAAACTTGTTACTTTGACACACACACACACACACACACACACACACATATATATATATATATATATATATATATATATATATATATATATATATATATATATATATATATATATATATATATATATACTGAATGATTAAGTATGCCAACTATGGCATAATTTAAAGGAAAAGGAAAAATGAAAAGCATAATTAGCATGTTTGGTAACATCAAATCAGAAAACCCTTCAATTCAAAATATGGCGTAAATGGATGTGTCGAAGGTCTTTTTGAAAAATTTTAAAGTTAATAGAACAATCCTGACAGTAATACCCATTCAAATTGTTGAATTTGTCATTGATTAACATTTACACCTAATTAATAATAATTGTATCTTTTGAAATAAAGCATGATTTTTTTTATACATCACTGAGTAATGCATGAAGTTAAATTCCAGTAATTAAAAATTAAATAATATCCCGTTACATGGCCGAATTGGGTGCATGAATAACTGTCTATGCATTTTATATGATGTCTGCTTCAAATGGAATACATAAAATAGCCCGATTCATCAACGTTATCGGTTGTATGAGTCATTTTAAAGACAGTAAATTTAAAAAACAGGGTTTTTACCACAACTAAAATGACTGAGAATGCATGACTCCTACTGCATAATGGATAGTAAAATCAGTCCTACAAATAAATGCCTCCATCATCTCTCTGCCTCCCAACCCACCCCATTTTTCTGCCATAATTGAAGCATACACACGTATCTCTTTATGGTCGAAGTAAGGGGTGGAGATATTTTGCTTTGGTTGAAAGTCAGATGCCTGTTCTTTTATTTATCAATGGACGCATGCATATATTTTC